GTCGTCGTCGTCATCATTATCATCATAATCATCATCATATCATCATCATTATCCTCATTGGAGCAATTTTCATTGGAAGAAAAGGAAGGATAGTTTCAACGATGGGAAACGTTCACACCTGCGGCCCGAACGAAGCTCTCGTAGTATCAGGTAAATGCTTTATTAACTTTCTGAGTGTCATTTAGAGCAGTGCGATATGATTTTTGAGTCACTGTTTTTCTTGATGTATTGACAATATTATTGAGTTATTGCTGGACAATAACAATTTATTAATAATTTGTCTGTATATAGCTTGAATCTATACAGAGATTTTCGTTTGTACTTAATGTTAAGTCACAAATTTTTGATCGCAAAACTGATTGATTATATCAGTAGATCAAACATGATATAAAGTGATTTATTACATTTTTTTACAAGATAACAGTAGGATACAAAAGAGATAACAAAAGAAAAAGTTTATATTACTATTTTCCAAATACAATACTTATTTAAATCAATAATTTAAATCAATAATTGTTTTTTATAATAGAGAAGATTTCTTATCTTAATGTTTTTTTTTAGAAATTTATTAGTTATCTCATTAAACAAGAATAAGAAAAATCTAGAGTTGAAGCTGGATTATTAGAGAAATATCAAGAGTTTATTTGTTATCTTTTCATGAGTGCATGCTAATTGACTATCAGGTGTTATATTTACATATTATTAAACTTTTTTGTTGAATTTTATATTGCTTTATAAGTATTTATAGCTTTAAGATGTCTTATAAATCAAAGTTGTATACTCCTAATCTGCTATTAGCGACAAGCGAGTGCATTTAACAGTTTATATTATACTAACATCAAAAACACAGTGAACATAACACTATATTAATAATAATGACATTATGTAAAGGTACCTTCCAACAAGCGACTCAGTACAATGCAGTGATCATCTTATCCTTGTTTATTTTGGCGAATAACAAGGATGTAATAATCCACTCACCATGGCATGTGTGTGTCTCCTGTTGGAAGGCATCCTAAATAATAATGCATTTGGTTTATCTTTGCATTTAATGCATTATAGGTATATGTACTTAATTCAACTACATAATCGTTTAATGGTAAAAATTCTTAGCGTTCTAACGACTGTACTACACATAGTATTACCTCTCTGAGTTTCTTAGCTGTAAAATTTTTTGCTTAGTATTCGTATTAGAATATATATCATTATATTCCATATATTTTTCACATTGATGCACTAAAAAACTAAAGCAGTTATTATAAGGCATGATGCATTATATTCTAATTATATATATATATTCTCCGTACCTACTAGCAACTCTGTTGGGAGTAGTTTATTAACGACACACATGATTTATGAATTTAATGATAAATAATGATAAATGAATTTAATGATAAATAATCTATTATCAGACTGCGATTTTAAGAATTTGTATTTTTTCACTTCAGGGAATTAATTTTAACATGCGAATATATATATGTGTTTTTCGTAATCGTTATTAATTTAAATTTATCTAACATTGAGAATGATTAGGGTCGAAATGTTTGTTAAATATTGTTTATACTTTATGTCATCATCAATATTGATCCGTTGTTTATGTAAAAGTTATTGACACAAATCATCTTGGTTTGTAGCTTTTTTATTTTATATTTATTTATTAGTAAGACTTCTATTAGACAAATTCAACAAAATCTACAATATTATTCTATGATAATACTCTATAGACTGAAGTAGATAAAACAAATTATAACAATGTAACATATTAAGTATTAAATTACATTTATATGGCTCGATTTACGTTGAAGTTGTAATATTGATATTATGAAACTGGCCAATTATATCATTTTATTCTTAAAGAAACATCTGATTGGCTAATTTCATAACATGTTATTATAATAATTTATAGTATAATTTTTAGTGCGTATAAGAAAACGCTATTTCTATCATTTTTCGTTATTTATTAGACGTAAAACAAAAATAGAATGACACTAATAGTGCTAATAACGTTTTTCCTGAACGCACCTTTTAACGTAAATCGAGTCGTGTAAACGTAGTCATAGATACGAACTAACATACAGAACTATCGTTTGATCAAAATTAATAATGTTAATAAGTTACTATATTTGTTGCAAGCTTATAAACTAGTTAATGGTTAATAGACCGAAAATAGATTAATTATTAGCTAAAGCAATGATGTAACAATACATGCTGTTTGTTATAAATCTTAATAAATCTTAATAAAAGTAATAAACCATGGCACAATAAAATCAATTGAGATTAATCAATAAAAATAGATACTATTTGTAGATATTAACGTACAAATTATATAATTCTCTAAAATGAAATTTAATAAAATACTATTTTATTTTAAATAACGTGGGATATAATCTCTTAACTTTATTCTAAAAAAAATTGTTAATCTTAAGTGTCTTTTTTTTTCATTTTTTATATGCACAAAAAGTTAGTGATAAGATATATTTTATTAAAATATTTTTGTTCCGCATAATTTTCAATAAATAGATTACGTTTACAAATGTTATTTTGTCGGATATTATAATTTACTATCGTATTTATTATCGTATTTATTACAAGAACGCAATTTATAAGAAAATTTAAAAATCAAATATTCCAAATGCAAAAAGAGCAATGCGGATGATTTTTCTAAATAATTTTGTTATTTTCCTAGATTAATCCATATTGCATCAATGAGCAAATGAGTGGAAAAAAATTATGAGTCATCTTTTTTACGTAACGATGTAAATGCTCTATTAGATGATACACTGTATTGAAGAATATTTTTTTTTCTCGCTTTTCTGCAATTATTAATTCATTTGCAAGTCCTTTGTGCTACATGCATATATATAAAGCAAAATGATATGATATCCGCAATGATAAAGTTGTGTTACTACTGAGAGAAAGTTTTTTTGATATTTATAACTATAATTATTTTTACTATAATTATGATTATTACTGCTATAACATGTTAGTAATAATAACAAATTATGTATAGTTCTAACAATAAATGTATATATAAGTATGTATAAGTCTATTTTCTGTTGCTGAACTGATGTACACTTTTTGAAACTTAAAGTGAGATAAGTATATGTTCAATATTTAGCGAAAGCAAGAGAGTTCTAGTGCAGTCTAGTGTAGGAACAAAAAATAGATCAATAATCAGCAACTAAAATGACAATAAAATCATAATAATTTGAATTACTTCGATGATAATTTCAACCATTTTTTAAATAATAAACTGTAAATTATAATCATTTGTCAACTATATACATTTGTTACTAAAACTATGGTTATTATTAATATTATAACAATAATAATCGTAATTATGGTAATATAATATGTAATATTAAAAACATCAAACATTTTTCTCGTAGTAAACGAGAATGATCGATACGATTGATCACCTTCGGAAAATATTCTTGAGAATAAATTATATAATTATATTACATTTATCAGTATCGAATTAATATTGATAATACAACGTTTCGACAATAATTTTATTTGATGATTACTGACGTTATATAGTCACATAATGATTGACATAAAAAAAATTCAGTTATTTATGAAGAATTAGAATATGATTGAAAAAAGATATTACTCATTCGTTTTTAACGATAATCTTAAAAATTGGACAGTATTATCCATATCTATATAATTCCTACACATTCTGCAGTTCATCACAATCATCACGTAATTTAAACACCAGGAGATCGATGTAAAGTCTAACACAATTATTGTTTTTTTGTTATTTTATTTAAATATTATTTAAATATTTATTTAAATATTTTATTTAATTTTCTTTTCTCTAAGTTTGTTGTAAATTGAGCAACATTGCTCTCTAAATCTGAATCAATGGATAGTCACTAATTACTCAGTGGCATATTTTACACTGGATAATTAGTGAAGTTCAACTGAGTTTAAAAAAGGAATGTTTAAGCATTATATAACTAAAATATTGATATTTGCACATTAATTTCAATCTTCCAATATTATATTTATTGAATTTAATCCTTAACTTAGCTAATCTTTATTATGTGATCTAAGTAACCTTGTTTTAGTGCTTAAATTCAATGAATGATATTAGAAGATTGAAATTAATATGCAAATATCAGCATTTTAGTTATATAATGCTCAAACATTCTTCCTTTTTTAGTTGAACTTCGCTGATTATCAGTGCCACTGAGTA